GGGGGGGGGGGGGGGGGCTCCTCACATGGGAGGAGGGCTCGGCTGGACCGGGGCCGGGAGCGCGGCGGCGCGGGTCCCGTTTCCGGCGGCCGGGGCGAAGTTTACGGCGTTTGCGCCTAAGGCGCCGGTGTCCGCCTTTGGGGGTGGCTCCGGCGGAGGCGGCTTCGGCGGAGGCGGCGGTGGCGGCGACGGGGGTACGGATAGCGCTGCTGGTAGCCCGCCTTCTTCGAAACGTGGATGATACTATTGGCGGCAGGGTTTTGTGAAACAATAGAATGGCGTATGGTTATGTGCTGGGAGTGTCCGTGGCGGTGGAAGACCTGGCTGCGTCTATCCGGGAGGGGTCTGTGGGACGTTGCTGTCCGCTTGGCCGTGTTCTGGTTTTGTCGCAGCCAGTTTGGGATGTGTGTTGGAGGATATTGGCCTTTTCTTTTGTTGTTCTTCGGGCGGACGCGTGGTCGATCGCAAGCCCCGTCAACTCGGTGGCCTCGACAGTAAGCGCGTGTCGCACGACCTGTCCTACGCGATTGCACCGACTACGGTTGGTTGTGCGGCAGCACGTGCTGACGTCGGCCTCTTTGTCCCCGTTTTTTTTTTTGCGCTGAGGGCTCCTCAATAAGCGGAGACCTGTAAGCTGGGGCTAAATTAACTTCCCCTCGTGTGGTTTGGCGGTGCTATGTGCTTGGCCGGTTGGGGATCTGTTCTCTCGTTGTAAATCGTAACGTTCGGTGTGACGTGGTTTGGATTGATCGCAGTGTTCGTTTTTGCTTTGGGCGGTAATTGCTGCACGGCAATTAATGGCTCTGCTGGTTGCAGGTGTCAATTTTCTTGCGCGTGTTGTGAGCTGAAAAGAGGACAGCCGCAAGAACCAACGGAAACCCCCCTGGTTGATCGGACAGAGCACGCTAGGATTACGCCCCTGAAGCGAGAGAGGTGCGTCTAAATCACGAACAGCGCTACCGCTCGTTCGAAGCAGACACATGCGAACACGGTATTAAACCTGTTCTACGCATGATGCGCGGGAACACAACAACCTCAATCTTTCGTTGTGCGCCGGAAAGCAGACAAGAGTTGAGCGCGCCACATTCTTGTTGCCGAGCTTCATCAGGGCAGCTTGAGACACGCCGCCGACCGCAACTTACCTCTTTGTCGTTGTCATAGTTCGGTATTGTGCAGTTGAAACAAGATGAAATGCCCTTGGGAGAGACGTGAAATGGTTATTTTCTCAAGCGTCGACTGCTGTAGTACGTAAGACGCAGCATTTTCGGCCCCCTCCTGCGTACTCTTATGTTTTGCATGTCTTAGCGGTTAGACCATTGACCACGCGTCCTCGAGAGGACGGAGCATTGTTCCCACAGGACCGATCACCGATGGCGAAACGTTCCTTTCTACTTTGCCAAAGGTGGCTCAAAAATGTCTTCCCTAGTCTGTCTATCCTAACGATATCCCTTCCCGCCTTTTCAACCCACTTCCTATATGCCCCAGTACAGCTACCGTCCTTTCCTCTCTATTCCATGCCTCAAACATCTCCTTGTACGTCCCATCTATTTCTCCCAGCTCAGACACGTACACTTCCCTCTCCTTCTTGTAGCACGGACATTCCGCGACTACATAAACACGGTCTTCGCATTCGAAGCCGCAATCACATTTATTTTAGTCTCACGTTGGCAGACAATCTCCACTTAAATATCAGTAAACTTCTTCGCCGCGTCAATTTGCAGTTGCAGTCCCTCAGGGATGTCCGACATACCGACAAAATCATCCTGCGGGACGGAAAACGGAAATGTTGTCCGCAATTTAAGTGCTACAGTACTGCTGTAGTCACATAAGCTCAACAGACGGCGTCATCTTGCCGACATCATACCACCGTTGTTGGGATCGTTTCGAACATCAACGTTCTCAAAAACAAAGACATACAGATAGATACACAAGATGGCTACCAAATGGCCTTGTTGAGCCTGTTACCCACAGGGGAGTTATCGTTGTATGCTGTCTGGGAAACCGTAGACATACAGGTAGCCTTTCGCTCACGCTATGGATTTATTGCAAATCTATCTTAGACGTATTTCTATAGCTAGATATGGATTTGTGATATAAAGAAAAAAAAAAGATATATATACCTGTTGCCTTGTTGCCGACACGAAAAAAAACAGTTTCACATAATTTAGAACCGTTTCGGTCTCTGCTCAACACCTTTGAACATCCGTACCAACTGACGCGGACGCCTTCCGTGGTCACAAGCCAAATAGAGTAAACCCTGGCATTGAGGAGCGCCCCCTATTAAAGAACACTCCACGCAAATTTCGCGGGGACCCCTGTTTTTTTTTGTTGCTTTCCGTTATAGGTCTCGTTTGAGCGCTTCAGCGTGCCGATCGGGTCAAGCACTGCCGAGCTACAGCACAGCAAAGCACAACCGGGGTTGAAATCCCTCGTGGACAAATTGTGACCCCTTTTTTCCGGAAAAGTCTGGGATACGCCTGAGAGACGGTGTACATTCCAGTCGTCCAAGTGAAGACACATGTTCCCGCCTGTAAGTTGATGAACGGCATGGGGCAGCGCTGGTTACAGTATGGAGATTACAACCCTGGGGTTTACCGAGGTCCAACAGCTGCAACAGGCTGAAGGACCCCGGTTGTACTTTTGTTAACATGTACAGCATATCCCCTATGCTACAAGTCAGCGCTGACTTGTAGCATAGTGGCTATGCCGTAGATTAGAGGCGCTGGCTATGCGCCTGGGCACCATACATAGCAGCGATGGAGGTGCGGGAGGGGCGGCTACTTTTGGAGCCGAGCGGACGGCAAGTTTTTTTATAGATGATCGGGAGCAGCAGCAGCGTGTCCGCGATTACGTGCGGAAGGACCGGAAGCCACCGGTGTACGACGGTAAATTCCCACTGTTCAACTCGCTGTTCGAGCTCTTCCTCGCCCGCGAAGATCTATCACACACACTCGCCAAGCCGGCGAGTCCAGACCAGCGCATCTGGCTCCTCAACGGGTTGCCAAGGAGCGAAAACGTCCGCTTGCACGGTGAGCGTGGCGTGCGCGATCATGAGAATGCGTTTGAGTACTTGATGCGCGCCACGAAGGGGGCAAACTTTCAGGCTGAAATCCTTGCCGTTGGGACTGTCTAGGGCGTGGGAGGCTGCACAACAGTTCTGCCTGCCGATGAGTGACCCCGAGCAGGCGGCACTGAAGCTGTCTCTCACGAACATGACGATGCAGCTTGGAGAGGACCCAAATGAGTTTTTAGGTTCGACAGACTGTTGTCTACTCTCCGCGCCGTCAACGGCGATGCGATCACGGATAGAGAAGTCCTCGCGATGCTTCGAAGGAACCTCTCCGCCGACTACGAACAGGAGGTCCACATTCTCTTCATGGCCAACAGCTCGCTCACGCGCAAGAACTTGGAGAATCTTGTGCGTAGCCTGCACGCCGAGAGAGACCTCGGGAATATTGCGCGGCGGACGGCAGCGCCGACCGGTGACCCGCGCGCTCTTCATGTCGGCGGTGGAAATTTTCGGCGGGACTGCTGGGGAGGTTTTTCTCGTCAACAGCAGCATGGTCTACAGCAGTCCTGCGAAGGTGTTCCCGTACAGCAACCGTTCCAACAGCAGTGGAGGTACGGCGTGTTTGGCAGAGGGTGTTTTTTCAGCAGCAGCAGCAGCAACCGTGCGTGCAGCACAGGTTCGTGCCACAGCGATCGGTGCAGCAGCAGCCCATGCCACAGCAGCAGCCTCGTCAACAGCAGCAACCTCTACGGTGCTGCAACGGCGCTCCTGGTACAGCTCCAACTTTCGCCCGCGGACCGTTTCAGCAGCTGCGGAGGAACGACGAGTTTGGCGGCGGGTTCGTGTGTCGGCAGCAGCAGCAGCAGCAGCTAGGCGTGGTGTACGGCGGTGACTCTCAGCAACAGCCGCGGCAACAACAGCTAGCGGACGGCTTAACCGGGGGTGCAGGTGGACAGGTGCTTGATGGGGTGTTCGTTNGGGGGGGGGGGCTGCTGCCGGTTCGTCTGCGGTGTATTTGCCGGTAAAAGCCCCCGCCAACGTAGCTTCTCTTAACGTAAACACACACTCCGCCACTCGCTCTCCCCAGCGGCCCGCGACATCACGTGTAGCACCTGCAGTAGTGCGGCAACGCGATGAGCTGAATCTCATGGAGGGCGGATACAGCAGTAGGCGTGTAGCGGAGGAACACATGCTTGGATCGTATCACCTTGTTGTAGTTTCGCCGTCCGCGGAATCACAACAACCCAAGCATTCGTAGTAGCAGCAGCGGCGTCCCCGGTCGCCGCGTTGGCAATGGATATACAGACGGCCGCAGCGGCGGCGGCGGCGCGGACGGGTTCGGCCAGAGCGCCGTCACCGACAGCAGCATCGGCGGGAGCAGAGACGGTGCGGACGGCTTCGGCCAGAGCGCCGTCCTCGACAGCAGCATCGGCGGTGGCGGCATCGGTGACGGGGGGAACGGCAGCAGCAGCAGCAGCGGCGGCGTCCCCGGTCGCCGCGTTGGCGTTGGGTGTCCAGACGGCCGCAGACGACATCGGTGACGGGGGTAATGGCAGCGGCGGCAGCAGCAGTGGAGTCCCCGGTCGCCGCGATGGCGTCGGGAATTNCGGACGGGTTCGGCCAGAGCGCCGTCACCGACAGCAGCATCGGCGGGAGCAGAGACGGTGCGGACGGCTTCGGCCAGAGCGCCGTCCTCGACAGCAGCATCGGCGGTGGCGGCATCGGTGACGGGGGGAACGGCAGCAGCAGCAGCAGCGGCGGCGTCCCCGGTCGCCGCGTTGGCGTTGGGTGTCCAGACGGCCGCAGACGACATCGGTGACGGGGGTAATGGCAGCGGCGGCAGCAGCAGTGGAGTCCCCGGTCGCCGCGATGGCGTCGGGAATTCAGACGGCCGCAGCGGCGGCGGTAGCGACATCGGTGATGGGGGTAACGGCATCGGCGACAGCAGCAGCGGCGTCCCCGGTCGCCGTGTTGGCGTCGGGTGTCCAGACGGCCGCAAGGGCAGCGGCGGCGGCGGCGGCGGCGGCGGCACCGGTGACGAAGGTATGTGACGAAGAGATGGAGGAAGCGGTTGGTGCGACAATCATGCCATTGCCAGTCCTCGAGGAGCTTGATAGCCAATGTGCTGGGGGGGACGTGAGCAACAGCAGCATCAGTAGCAGCAGTAGCAGCAGCTGCAGCAGCGAGGACAGCGGCGGCGATGGGAGCGGGGACGAGGGGTTGGATGAAATATGGAGTGGAGCCCCGATGCATCCTTTCGACCCCGGGAAGGCTGAGGGGAACGTGAGCAGCGGCAGCGGCAGCAGCAGTAGCGGCAGGAGCGAGGAAAGCGGTGGTGATGGCAGCGGGGATGAGGGGTTGGATGAAACCTAGAGTGGAGCCCCGACGCACCCCTTCGACCCCGGTACGACATCTTCGCGTGGCGTGAGGAGACGGGGGGCGGTACCAGGGGTAGCGTACCCCTTCGATAGGGGCAGGAACGGGAGTGGCAGCTCCGGCGGTGGCAACGGCGGCAGCGGCGGCAGCCACAGCAGCGACGGGGTTGGTGGCTTCGGCCAGAGCTCCGGCGGCGACACCGGCGGCAGCGGGAGTAGCGACGGGAGTGGCGGCTTCGGCCAGAGCTCCGACGGCAGCAGAGACGGCAGCGGCGGCTTTGGCCAGAGCCCCGTCGGCGGAGGCGGCGACAACGGCGGCGGTGGTAGAGGCGGCAGCAGCGACGTCATCGGCAGCCGTGTTGGCGCTGGAACTCATGACGGTCGTGGCGGCGGGGAACGGCAACGGCGGCTATGGCAGCGGCGGCAGCAGCGGTGGCGCCCTCGAGTCGACCGGGAACGGGGAGGACACGGTGACAGCCACGACCTCACCTTGTTACAGCCAAGTGGGAGAACACGTGAAACGTTTACGACTTTGTTCGGTTTTGTGAGCAGGCATATACGTTTTAGCTTCGCCATTTTGCTTCGTGTTTATTTTTTTGTTCTATTTTTCCCTTGCTAGCGCACCGTCCGCTTTGATGCAGAAAACCCTTTGTGTATGCCATGGCGTGTGCGTTTTTTTTTTTTTTTT